GTTAGAAATACAAGATATTTAGCAAATTTATCAGGCAAAATACAGTGGAAAAGAAGGAAACGAGCAACAGGATAATTACATAGTTGACCAACGCATATCATGGAAGGGCTACTTTGCTGCGCTGATGAAGGTACTAATCAAAATAAATCATTGCTGATGGCGCATCAAAATTGGCTCCTTGCTTGCTTTTTTTATCAGAAATTTAGGAAATGGGGAATTCTTTTGCGTTAAGGAAGCTGAACATGCTGAAAATCGCGAAGCAAGAAGGGTAAATCTTACCGGACTTTGCATTGCCCACGATTTGTCGCTAAAATCACCACGGGACTGATGGTACTTTCAAGGGCCCGATGCAGGTAGGTGAAGCATTCAATATCGAGCATGTGCACTTCGTCGATGAAAAGCACACCCGGCATGAGCTCCGCGATTCCCTGGAACCTTCGCAAATGCAACGAGTGAACAAGAAAAAAGTTTCTGACACTTAATTTTGCAAAATTTCAACACTACTTCTGCGAAACACTCGTGGATCTTACCTGTTCAATGTAGTCATTTACAACAGTATTAACTTCCTGTCGCAGCCTTTCCGTAATTTCAGTTTTCTTTGGCTTTAAAAGTTGCCCAACAAGCGATGTCATATTACCACCGGTACCATGTGGACGAGCATTTGCAACATCCAAATCATGTAGTGTCACATCCTGAAACATTGTGAATTTCTTTTGTACATTCAAAATTTGTACAATGTGCCTGAATTAATAAAAATTTTCCTTTGCGGGGGAAAAAGTTGATTTAATGATTCTTACTTCAGACCATAGGAAGAGGGCAGGAGTTCCTGAAAAATGAAGTTTAAAACACCATTATCGATGGCGAAAAACATGAGCAGCGACAAAGTGCAGCCATTCAAAAAACCAAGGCTACTATTTTTAGGTAAAAAAGCAATAGCCCCAATTCCGAAAAAAAGTTTTATATCGCAGAAAAAATGCACTGTACCTGAACAACCTCTTTCGATTTGTGAACATCGCCTTTTGGTAGTGGCACAAATTCATCCGCTTCAAGATCAAACTCTGTCGCATAGACATCACAACGTCCAAGTCTCTTGAAACAAAAATTACCATGTAGAGAAAGAGAAAAATTATAACTCCAAAGGAACTATTTTAATAAACTCTTCCAAAGAAATAAATGCAGTGGAAGTGTCTTTCGTGACTATATAAACAACCAAACTCTCTATCTGTCTCTCAGATGAATAACATGCAGGAGGATATTGCTGCGACGATGTGAGAAAGTAAAATCCGATGGGCAATGGTTGCTCACTCCGTGACAACTGGTGGAAAGCTAACTAATTATTAGACAGTGGCATACGCGAAGGAATAAACAATCTCTTGGGCAGTTGCAGAAAAGGCTGCTCACATAAACTGAGCAGGAACGGGTACTTGATAGAAATATGCAACTTAGAATCGAAGGGCCTGGCACTGCTGCGTCCCGTGTGACAGGGCATTTCATTAGCATCATTAATATCAGATCTCAAACCGATTCGAGCGCTCCTCATACTGATAGCTGCTATATTTAAAAAACACTAATCACTGTTATTGCTACACAACAAATTCGCTTAACGATGCCCTAATAATGATTATAACAAGATAATAAATAGCAACGCGCACCAGACTAGCCCGTGCGATCATGCGTTTTGTGCAATTCAGCCTATCGAACGATTGCCTATTAATGATTTTCACTGCTT